CCCCAAAACCCCAAAACCCCAAAACCCCAGGCCACTGGTAAGGTATTGAATGTTTGAACTAAACATTAAATAGTTATATTTTTCTTTGTAAAGAATACATTGGGAACTGTGTAGTGAAAGCAAAATGCAGCATTATTTAAGGTGTATCCTCATGCTTTACATTAATATAGTAATATTACTTCAAGCAATAGAGATACACCCAAATTTCCCATTATGCTTTATAAACAGAGACATTTTAGTTGAAAACACTGAGTAAAATCTTACCACCAAGCTATAAACCACAGGTTTGATAGAAAGAGTCAGCACTAGCAATTACCTGGCTGTCAGTGAAGTCTAAAGTAGTGATATTTAGAGGTATATGTACCAATGCAGTCTTCATTATCCGCATTTATATCATCCCGCTGTTAATATCAATCAATAAGTGAAATACGAGCAAATTACAGAACTGCAAGAGTTTTGAAATTTATAATTTTCCAAAAGGAGCTGGTCTCCGCCTATATCTCTAGATCCTATTACTATAAGTACTAAATTATCATTAACAGACCGGCACGGTAAGTAAGTGATCTATAATATCGACTGAAAAGAATCATTGATGGTGCATTGTGTAGAGGTAAACTTAATTACCAAAATACTAACCCAATTACTATATAGAACAGATGGATTTAAACCAAAGCTGAAATTAGAAGTTTTCCCTTTAAACTCCATGACAAGCTTTGATACACCTGAGACTCTGAATAAGTCTTAATGTAAGATCACGGGTTATGATAGGTATATTACTACATGGCATGCCATGATTGTATACTTGGAACCTACTGAGCCTTGCATTTATCTATGTGGAACCTCACATCTTTTATCAGACAATTCTCAGAACAATATTGAACTTCTTCTCAAGGTCATTGAGCAATAAAAGGCCTGTAGGAATAGCAGTAATCTCATTTTCCTCATCCCAGACTTTTTATCTTCTCATATTTGAACAGAAAATTTCCAGTTTTATCAGAAGCTACTTCTAAAACAAGAAGATTGGGTGTAAAAATATCAATGGAATCCATACAAGCAGGACCCCAATTTTCAATACATTTTCCTGGGAAGCTAACTCCTGTTTTCTCATGATTTGCAAATGAGTCCTGGTTTTCTTTAAGTAAATCTTCTTGACAAGACAGGGTCATCTGTTGGATGACCTCTTTTACAATTTCATCAATATTATGACCTTCAGCCAACTTCCAGGGTCTGATTTTATTCTTTGATAATTTGTATCCGTATTCGTCAGAATTCAAGTTATTTATAATTCTCTCTAAAAGGGCATCCAATGTGTCTCTTGCGCTTGCAAAAATTGAGAGAGGACGGCTAACATTTTATATATCCCTCTTTTCTTTTGTTGGAATAACAATAAACCTTATTTCATGCAATTTAATTAGCAAATCTATTTCACTATGGAATGACATGAAAAATCTTTTCACAGTAACTCCTCCATATTTTGAATGAAAGAAGTTCCAAACATCTTTTCTTACAATTGTATAGTCAATATCAATTTTGGTTTCTTCTTTAAGAACGTAATTGTAGTAGCTTTCTGAGTCAACATCATTAACAAACTGATCTTTTGATATAAGCAGAGATGCATTCTATCTCTTCAATTTCTATTGGCCTATTTTCTTCAAAATCTGGAATTGCATTGGACTCCAATCAGTCAAAATAGTGACAAATTTTCCAGTGTTCAAGCCACTTTAAATTAAGAATGTATCAAACACCATCTTTAGGTAAGATAAAGCATCTTTTATTACCAGACCACAACTTTTTGTATTCTGTCACAAGTTCTCTTCAATGGTCGATCCATTCATCCGGGTTATTTAGTTGTCGCTCATACTCTCTGAAATAATGGTCAACACCAGGCTCTTTGGTTTCTTCCTTGTTGGCCTCTTCAGGTTGAGTTGATTCCATTTAGTAGGATTATTTAATATTATATAAATCTTGGGGTTTTGGGGTTTTGGGGTTTTGGGGTTTTGGGGTTTTGGGG